GTTGCCGGTCAACTGGCAGACCCACCCATTCCTCGAATTGCTGGTGAAATTGGCGCATTAAAGCCGGAATCCCAAACTGTTTTCCTTCAAAGACAACCCAGTTTCGCGATCGCCAGATCCGCCAGAGGATGGCAACCACTGCCATAAACAGCAACGGATCATGGATCAGGGCAAGCATTCGCTTTAGAAACAGTGGAAACGTGTGCCGAGGCAAAGCCTCCCCTAGATAATCCAACCCCGAGTGGACCCAGAGGGCCCGAGCAACTGGGAAGTAAGGAAACAAGTGCTCCATAGTCTCGGGACCCTCCCAACAAACCGGACACCGAGGCAACACAGGAACCTTCTTTTCAATGAGCGCCTCAGTGGTTGGCAGGGCCCGATTCAAAATTTTCCAGACAAAGACTTTAAGCTTTGGCGGGATCTTAGCCTCCCACAGCCGTATCCAGCTTTTCCTATCCATCCAACTCACCGACTCCCGCCACCCACCCCTCCTTCTGTCACGGTCCACTGCCAGATGATAAGCCTTCTTAACTGAGAACACCCCATCAGCTGTGTTATGTCAGATAAGTTTATCATCCACATTCCTTCTCGGAAGAGGGATAGCCTTAATAGCCCGACAGACAGCAGGGTCAAACCATTGACTCAACTTATTCTCATCCCACCGCCCTTCCCCTTGACAAATGACCTCCGCCACCAAGGGATCCCCCTCATTTGGTAGGATGCAAGGATTATGGCACGGGGGCTCCAGCTGAAGCCTAGGAATCCATTTAGAATGTACCAGGGAGGCCGAAAGGCCATTACCTATCTGCCATCGTAAACCTGCCTCCAGAAGCTGACGCCTAAACAGGATACTCTGCCAACCCCACGAAGGCCTAGACCGGGCAGTCGCAGACAGAAACGAGCCTTGCGGAAAATACTTCCCTTTATACACCTGAGCCAGGAGGGAATGCGGCTCTTGGAGAATACGCCAGGCAATCTTTGCAAAGAGAGCCTGGTTAAAATGTTCAAACCCGCGAAAACCTAAACCTCCCTCATGCTTGCTCTGGCACAGGTTCCGCCAGGACACCTACCTAATCTTGGGGTGGCCCTCCTCAACTCCCCACCAGAAACGGGCCACATGTCTATCCAACAAACGGCACAGGGATAGGGGAAACCGGAAACATGACATAACATACAGGGCAAGGCCAAAGCAACTGTCTTGATTAAAGTCTCCTTTGCCGCCCATGATAAAGTTCTCTGTTTCCATCCCTGTAAACGCGCCAGAAGTTTCTCTTCCAAATACCTGAATGTCGCCATCTTGGATCGGGCAATCAAAGTGGGTAACCCGAAATATTTATCATGAACCCCCTACTGCACCGACACCAAGAATCGCAGCCAAAAACTCCTTATCAGCCAAGGCAACATTTTTGCTAAAGCAGACTGCCGACTTTTCCAGGTTAACCCACTGCCCACTCAGCTCCTCATACTCATTGAGCACCACAATTAAATTCTCGCACTCCTGAAGAGAACCTCGCAGGAATAGATAGGAATCATCCGCGAAAAATAGATGCGAGATCCTAGGAGCACGCGGTGCCACCTTTACCGCCTCCAACTTCTTTTTAGAGATCGCCTTCCGAAGAAGGGCCGCAAACCCTTCCGTGCAAAGCACGAACAGGAGAGGCGACAACGGATCTCCCTGTCTGAGTCCCCGAGAGGAATCGAAAAAACCCGAAGGCGTACCATTCATCAGAACCGAAAAAGTAGCGGACCTAAGACATTCATGTACCCATTCTTGCCAGACCGAGTTAAAGCCCATCTTTTGCAAAACTGCCAGAAGGAAGGGCCATTCGACTCTATCATAGGCCTTTTCCATGTCAACCATTAGAGCCATGTGCCCCTTCTTCCCCTGCCTTTTTATTTTAAGATAATGCATTAACTCATGCCCAAGAAGGACGTTATCAATGATCTTCCGATCTTTTATAAACGCATTTTGCCCCTCCGACACGATTTGAGGGAGCAATCCTGTCAGCCGCTCAGCCATGATCTTGGTTATAACTTAATAAACGAACTGGCATAGACTGATCGGACGCAGCTGGCGGACATTTTCCACAGCATCTACTTTAGGGATCAACGTAAGCCACGTATGATTTAAACTCCGTAGCATTCGACTAGTCGAAAGAAAGAACAAACCGCCTCAATCACTGATGCACCCACAACATCCCAGAATGCCTTAAAGAATTTTCCGGTAAAGCCATCCGACCCCGGAGCCTGCTTCGATCCCATAGAAAAGACCGTTTTCCGAACCTCCTCCGGCAAAACCACCGCCGTTAAAAGCGCATTCATCTGCGGAGTAACCGATTGGGGGATTGGGAGGCTCGCCACCCTATCAGCCATGTTGTGCACCTGGGAATCCGAGGTAAATAGAGTTTGGTAAAAGCTGGTAGCAATCCTAGCCTTCTCGCTCTCTTCCGTAACCCACTCACCCTCCTCATCCCGGAGCCCGGCGACAAAATTCCTTTTCCGACGAGCACGCGTAACCGTATGGAAATAAGATGAGTTTTGGTCCCCTCGTTTCAGCCATCGGACCCTGGATTTCTCCTGCCACTACAACTCCTCCGCATCCCATTGACGAGATAGTTCCATCTCCAGGGCTTGTACCGCATCCCAATCCACAGGATAGATGGATTTGACTCGGTCAACCTCAGCCTAGAGAGTTTTAATATTATGCAAGGAGTTTGTAGTTCCCGCTCTACTCCAATCATACAGCAGATGCCTGAGTTTCTTGAGGCGTTCCCAAAGCCAAAACATAGGGGTGCCTTGCAGCTCCTCCTGCCAGACATACTGGACCATAGCCCTAACCTCAGGATTCTCCGCCCAACGAGCATCAAACCGGAAAAGAGGCCGGCTATTCCGAGTGTACGGTTTATCAGCAAGAAGAAGGGCCCGATGGTCGGACCCCTGATCCGTAAAGTGTTTAACCAAGGTCTCAGGATACATATCTATCCAAGACTGGGAACAAAGGGCCCTATCCAGCCGTTCGCGAATGCACGCCTCCCCCATCCGCTTGTTAGTCCAGGTAAACTGATCCCCTTGGTATCCTGGATCATGGAGTCCTACCTCATGGACAAACTCCCGCAGGCTGGTGGCTTGAGCCGCATTCCAAGCCCGACCCCCATCTTTTTCTCCCTCATGGAGGGTGACGTTAAAATCACCAATGATCACGAAAGGTTGGTTCGTATTAGCATACACTTCACGTAAATGAGCCAACTGGCTATCACGAACAGCCGCATTACAGCTAATGTAAACAAAAAACACCAAATACGAAAAATCACCTTCATTAATTTGCGAACAAATATAGAAATTGGAAAAACAAAACACCGAAGTGTTAACCCCGGGGGCCCAAGCTACAACTAACCCACCCGATGCATCAACTGCATCAACAAAAAAACAATGGGAACTCTCAAACCATAAACCCCGCATCCGGTGGGCCACTACACGCCGGCTCGATCGTGTTTCAGAAAAAAACACAACATCCGGCTTATTAGAATGAACAAGCCCTAAAGCAGAATGGAAGGTGAGGGATGGCCCAATTCCTCTCACATTCCAGGGCAGAAGCCTTATTTATCCACTGGGGGCCACTCGAGGCTGGCTTCCTCCACCTTTTCCTGGATGTCTACTGCTTCCACAAATTGTCTCTTCGGAGTAGGAGGGTCTCCCACAGTCCCCTCAACTTCCTCAATCATTCGCTTCCGATTCTCCATGATTGGGTCCTCCAGATTAGACCCATACTCATTCAGTCCCAAGTTTGAGGGAGACACCACTTGGCCAAAGCTGAGCCCCGCCTCAAATGCCTCCACCACTTGGTGAACGCGGCCTTTCATACCATGAGAGATCTTCCTGGAGGCACCAGTGGCTGACTGGTTTACGCAGCCTAGGCTGAGTCTTCATGCTGGCTTGATCTTCTGGGTGATCAGCATACCGAATATGGTGCATCCCTGGAGTATGAGTATTCGTGGCGGGCACCCGCGGCCCCTCCTCCACTCGGCCCTTGGCAGACCTTGCTTTTCCGTCATTGTGCATGTGGACATTCCTGTTGATCCACACCGACTTACTTGTGTCCCGATATCTTGAGAAGTCATCCTCCTCCATGTATATCTTCCGCCCGAGCTTCCTGGTTGACATGTGCGGGCCAAAGCGTTCTTTCCCCGGTGGAGGGTCAAAAACACAGTCACGTTTGGAGTGGCCCACGCGCCCACAATAGAAGCAGACGGTTGGAAGGAATTCATATTTGAGATTGACTCAGAACTCGCCAAGCTCCTCGCTTACCGCCATGAGTTGAATCGCAGTGGCTTAGCGAAATTAATGAGCACGTGCACTTTTTCAAAAAGCTCCTCAGTCTCCTTGGACGCGAAGACATCGGCCTCCAAAACCTGACCAATCTTCCCCGCTGCCATTTTCTGGCCAAACTGCTTCGTGCAGCAGTCATCTTTCACATTCCAGAGTTGGACCCGAAATGGGGCAAAGGCTAACTCCTCGAATGTGTTCCTGGATATAGATGGTGTCCAGGACCTGAGATGGAAGATCCTGTCCTTGACAATCCAGGGTGACCGCTTCAGGACCCACACCCTTGTTTCGTCACTTGGCAGCACCACTTCAAATAAGCCAAATTTCGTGAGTGAAACCCTAAGGTTTCCTTTCACACGCCATGCTTCAATAAGTCCCTCTTTTAGCTCCGTAGTAGTAAATTTGGCCTCCGAAAAGAGCCTTCCCAAAAGGGTCCTAGAGGTTCGAAACCTCACCAATTGGACCTCCTCCAGCGAGAACTCGACCACTTGATCCTCAGCAATTCGCGACGTCATATTCACCTGACAATCATAGACAAGTAAATTATTAGTAACATCACAATTGGGGACTTTCCCCAGTGGGCTCGAAGTCAGCAAGCCCAAAGGCCTAATGGTATTGGGAGTTAGAACATTAGATAAAGGCTTAATTGGATTAAATGATTTAGGCCCGAAGGCATCCTATGGCCCAACTATTCCCAAGGAGCTGAACCTGCCAGCAGGCCCGGCCCCAGCCTTCTTGAGGAGCCCGAAATCCGACCCCGGCCCAACACTCTCCATGGAGTCGGGCAAGCCCACCGGGCCCAAAGCCCCTTGGTCGCTACCCTGCTTCCCTAGGTTTATTTGCCTCCTTAGTGGGTCAAGCCCAAATTGCTTTGGAGAACCTAGGCCACTCCAGGCCGGCCCAACACTAGGTAATGGCTGCTGGCTCGAACTTTGTCTCCCTCGGCTGCTCGACTTCGCAAGCAGAGCACCGGCAGTCGAAACCGTTGGGGGCAGAGAGCTCTTCGTTGTCGCCGGACCTACCGGCGATCCAGGGAGAGGGAGCTTCCTCGTTGCATCGCTCGGCACAGTGACACAATTACTCGTCAAAGCAGGGGTGAGTAGAACTCGCAAACCATAAGAAGATGAATGGGTTTCGCCCAAAGAAACTTTACCCTGATGTTGTCTTGGAAACCAGAGCAGTCGGTGGGAGCTTTTTCTTCCGTCCGCGCTAGTAAATCCAGAAACCCAAGCAATACACCGAATTGGGAAAGCAGGGGGAGAAGTCAATTTAAAAGAAAAAGACTCCGAGTTCTCCAGCAAGAGGGAGATTCCCCTGCTCCGATTTTTACTTAGAAATCGATTTGGTTTAGGATTAGGAGTCCTTGGAAGGACATTCGGTTTGATCTCCCAAGATTGGATCAGACCTCCGCTAATCCCGCCCACCACCGCGAAAAAAGCTCCAGAAGGATTCTCCGTTTCCGCCTTACGCACCCGAGTTTCCCTCCGCATGCAATCACTGGCGGCACCGTCCAATTGGCTAAACCCTTCCAAATCAGCGACATTCAAGCTGGGTTTTGTGGAATTGAGATCCACTTTCGAATTGACCTGCTGAATTGCGCAGTATCCCTCCCCGAAGGGGTCCCCTTGATCCACACCTTCACCACAGATTACTTCTGATTCAACACTGCAACCAGGAGCGCTACGCTTAGATTTCACTAGCTCTGGTGAGATGAGTGCAATCCCTACCCCGAAAGGCCCAGCGGTGCTGAATCGCTTGTGGGTTCGATCATGACCCAAAGGTCTTTCAATTTCTATTTCCGCGACCGTCGAGGCCTCTGAATCTTCAAGATCGAATTCCGTCGGACTCGGAATTCGGAATCGCCATAACCTCCGTGGCTCGGCCCACCTCCTTTTGGTCGGGTGCTCTTCTTCAACTTGGACATCGGCAAAGACCATTTCCGCCGATCTTTTCCTTCGTCGGGGATATTTCGCCCGACTCCAGGCCCTGGGAGCAGCCTCTCTGGCCAAGGACCTCATCAAACATCTTTTGGATTGGTTGATACCCAATCTGTCGGAATTTCCCGGCTTGGAAAACCCTCTATCTCCACCAAGTTTCTGGTTCCTCAAGCTGGCGGCGAAGATGATGGAGCAGATTTGCAGCAGTCGTTCCCCTAGCCAAAGCGAGATCTCGAGGAGAGAGGAGAGAGCTCCTCTCATAATTTTTTTTTCCAATTAACTTTAAACGTTCAAACAAGAACAAATCAAGAAGAGTTGGTCCAGTTGAATGAAACAAAAATTCTTGTTTCATGAATTTTCCACCATGAAAAATTCTTGTTTGTGTTGGAATATTAGATACCTAATTCTATCTTTTATGACAGTGTTTTAGGGTGGTTGCCAACTTTCCGTCTTTTGCTAAGCACAAAAATGTCTCCTCTTGAGGTTATATATGCATTCGATTACTCTTAATGAGGACTATGATTTTCATTATAAGATCCTTGAACTTCGTCAAACGGTTAAGCATCGCGTATACATGAAAGAGAGAAAACATTTTCCGTCATTAGCATTTTAGTTAAGTAAATACTTTGATTGATTTGTAAGAAAGGAAGCATAAATAGAGTGGCAGATATTGTGAACCTTGGATAATTCTACATGTAATTGTGACACAGAGCATGTTAAGTTTTGATCCATTATTTACTTAGAGTAGGGGTGGACCCATGCACGTGACATTTCCAAAATTTGAAAAAACGATTATCAATCTCCCGATAGCAATTTTGTATGAGGGGAAAAAAGATGGTAGTCTATGTAATTCTAACACAGTCAAGTTTCGAGCGACCTCCTACTCTTTCGTCCTCTGAGAATTGATGACCACTGAATCTAGCCCAAGAATTCGTGGAAACAAGTTTATATTCCAAATTTCTTGATTTACAAACAGTATAATTGGCTTGAATGTAGTGTTTTAAAAGATGTTCTCAAAGTTGTATTGATTTTACCGGTTGCAAATGCAGAGAAACCCTTTTTAGGTTTTGATTACATCAAGAACAAGCTTTGTAATTGAATAGCGCGATCGTGATCGATTGTCTAGTAGAACATATTGAAAGAGATTTGTTGAACATAGTAGATAGTGAGTATTTTATAAATTTTTTAGAATGTGCAAATTAAACACGTCGTAGACTTTTGTTGTAATTTATATTAGTCGAAAGTTTTTTTTATTATGTTAATTTTATTTAATTGTGAAAGGGAGAACTCTATATATTATGAGTCATTTATAAAATAAACATCTATAATTAAAAAAATACTTCTGGATCCGCTACTGGCTTAGACATGAACTACATTATTCTATCATGATAAATAGGGACGGGATACGGTGACAACCCCCTTGGGGGTTGTCAGATTCACAACCAAGGGTATTTTGGGTATGAAAAAAAGTAATATATTAATTACCTTTTGTGTATTAATTATATTGGAAATTAAAAACCCATATTAAATACAATTTTTTTTTTGAAATTTAAATCCTAAACATTAATATCTCTATCTATCTCTCTCTTCCTTTCTCCAGCGGCCACTCCGCATCGACGGACAGATTTTTTCTCCGGCGAATTCTCTCCGGCAGACTCCCTCCGGCAACCTGAAAAAATGTACCAGTACGTTAAAAAGTGTACCAATCCATTAGTCTACTGGTAATTAATATACCAGTGCTAGTGGTACGCTACCAATGCGTTAAAAAATGTACGAGTACTAGTGGTACGCTACCAGTACAACGCTACTACTACCATTAGTAGCGGTACCAGTAGAGAATAAATGTACCACTAGCACTGGTAGCGCTACCACTAGCATTGGTAGCGATACCAGTAGAGAATAACACAAAAAAACAGATGATAGTGGTACGCTACCACTACCAGCTACCTTATCACTGGTACGCTACCAGAAAAAAATGGTACCACTAAAAAACCAGATCTAGAAAAGGGGAGACGGTGACGGGAGAGAGAGGTAGGGGAAGAGGGTGACCTCGCGACGGCGGCAGTGGTGGGGGACGATGGCGGAGGGACGCCGACAGGAGAGAAAGGCGGTTGAAGATGGCGGCTGAAGGCGGAGGGGCGCTGACGGGCGGCTGGAGGCGGAGGTGCCGAGATGCAGCTGAAGGCGGAGGGACGCCGACGGCGGCGGTGGAGATGGCGGAGGGCTCTGCGAGAGAGGAAGGAGAGACAGTGGTGGCTACGGGAGAGAGGGAGGAGAGAGGGAGGAGAGAGAGAGAGGGAGGATGGAGGAAGGAGTTAGGGTTTTTTTCTTTTTATATGGTAGGGTGAATGATTGGGTGTGGTAAATTTTTACCCTTCCAAAAATACCCTTCCTTTAATCTTAATCGTTAATTTAAAAAAAGGAAAAGAAAAAAAAACAGGAGAGAGAACGTATCCAATGGCTATGAAGTGGGTTGTGAATCTGACAACCCTCTTAGGTGTTGTCACCGTATCCCGTCCCTGATAAATACAATAAAAATACGATAAGAAGAATCAAACAATTAATATAATTTCCATTATAAATAACAAAAACTTGTATTATTTATCTACAATGATCAATGCATAATATGAAACGAAAGAAGGAAAGTACCATACTTTACAAAAAGGGAGAAATAGGAAAGTAGGCCAAATAAGCTAAGTGTACAAATCAAGACAGAAATAGCCCACCTTCGTTTGTTTGATGCATTGGTTATAATCGAAGTAGTGAATTCCTTCCACATACTCTCCAGTCTCCACTAAAGAAGCAAAAAAGAAAAGAATGAGAGATTCGGGTCCAAACAAGGGCATGCAATTTAGGTGATCAAAGCTGATCATTAGAGCAAGTTATTGAGCTTAGTTAATCGGGTAAGTATATACTTAGTTTTAAGATGAATCTTGTTTTAAACTTTGATCAAATGCACGGATACAGGTAGAAGAATGAGGGAAGGAAGCTTTAATAGGATGGAAAATGTATCAGTTATATGATGTATGATGTGGTAGTCATTTTCAACGGCAAACATAAATGAAAAGACGCCCTCATTTGAATAATTGCACGAGATAGTAATCCAAAGCTCAAGGTTATCTCAAGGTGTAAGGGAGCACAAAATAGTTTACAAATGACACATAGTATTTGCAATACTCTTTGTTTCCAAAATATAAGTGACTTGAAGCACATGACAATTTTAAATGTTTATATCTAACTGAGTGTAGGAGTGAGACAAGAGGGAATGCGAGTGAATAACAAGACGATCCGCTTGCACACTTAAAGATTCTAGAAGAGGCCGTGGGTTAAGAAAAGTAAGTTGAGAGGATCTTAGAGAAAGAGAGAGAAGTAACTTGTATGACTAGAGCGATAAAGGAAAAAGAGATCCCTTCACCCACCAGGGTAAATGCTCTATTTATAGGCTCCCCTCGGTGGGTGGGGATCTCAGGTGACAAGATGTTTGAATAAGACAAGTAACTAGAGTATGATTAGGTCTATAGGCGAGAAGTAACTGCTATTCAGTACTACGACGTCGTCTTCCTCTTCCGCGGGTTATTACGTCGTCGTCTTGGTCTTCCTCCTCCGCGCGTACGTCCGGAGGCGCGGGTTGCACTCGCACATCGTGGTATAACGCGCACTATTATGTTGTGGCGTGGTTGTGGCTGCTTGCATTATTTTGCGCTAGTATTCATCTAGTGTGTTGACGGGGGCGTGGTTGCTGGCACGTTAGGCCCCGAGCTATACTCCCAACAATTTTCCCCCATCAGGTGGTATTCCTCGAATGCCTCCTGGTATGACTTTGTGCGCGTGAAAGCTCGGGGCGGGGTATTTTGTCCTTGTTTGTTGTTTTTTGTTGCATGGCCTTTATTCTGAGTTGCGTTTTGGGCGGTATATTTTGACAACTTGTGTATGTGTGCGCGTTTTGCCCATTCCACGGGAGTCCCCTACCCCCCAGGCGGTGCGCGGACGTAGAGGGCGTGGCTGCCTTGTCTCTGCATGACTGTTGGTTGTCTTTGCACAGCTTTTGATTATCCTCAACCATGTGGCACCTTCCTATTCGTACGTTGTGGCGGTTCAACCTCGATATTTGAAATTCGAATTTCGAATGATTGACGTGACGGTTGCGCTTCTCGAAGTCCTTTTGCCCGTTGCATTCTCTCACTTCAGGCTTATAAATACCTACCATCAAGTTCTAGAAGGCCATTTTGTTTCCCAGACTTCAGTTTTTATCGAGAAACAACATCTTGTTGCGAGATTCCTCTCCTTCGTTTCTGACCTTATTTCGCTCGTTCTCGTCGCCAATCTTCATTTTCAGATGGTCGGCAGTGCTACCAATGAAGAGACTGAGGTCATCATCGATGAAGAAGGTAATCTTTCTTCTCCCTCTCATGTTTCTACCGATCCTTCCTAGGATCTTGATGAGTCCGGTGGCGGTGGGAGCGGCGAAGCGGTGGTCAATGAGAATCCGGCGATGGCGTCCCACGATGCCGATGACGGATATGATCAGACAGCCGATTCGCTGGGAGGTGGTGATCAGCGACGCCAAGGAGGCGGACAAGGGGTTCTTATTATCCGGCGTGCTCATCTAGGTAGTTCTCGGTCTGGCGTCGTCGCTCCAGTGGAGGTTTCAGAGACGGATTCAGATCTTCCTCCGCCTCGTGAACACATCTCGGAGGCTATGAGCCGACTCGGTCCCTGCTACATCGACTCCCAATAAACTATCTCGATTGGGCAAAGATATTTGAGACGAGTTCGCTGGTCGTGGCTAGCGACAACCTACTGCGGGGTCTTAATCATTGCTCTGTGTTGGGGTGGAAGGAGGTGACCGACCTAGTGTGTGGCCTAGGGTTGCCCCCTCGTGGCAGTACGTGGTGCCTAGTGCGCGTAGTCGTATTGGCAACTGCCCCCCTGGCAGGTTTGGGATCTACTCCGAGTACTAGCGGATGGGGTTCAAGTTTCTGCTAGACCCTCTGTTGTGTGCTTTGCTGCGGAGGTTAAAGTGCTCTGTCGCGCGCTTATCTTCTTCCGTGATGATGCACATATCAATGCTCCGCCTTGTGTGTAAGCGGTGCAGAATATAGCCTTCTTATGGGTTGTTCCGTACCTTTTATAAGATGAAAGCTCCAACGGAGAAGGGCAAGAGCGATTTCTTTTCATTGCGACTGCGCGACAAGCGGCACGAAGGCTATGCGTATGGGTCGCCTAAGCTAGACAAAGACTGATTTGAGCGGTTCTTCTTC